CTTCTGTCTTGTTTCTCATGGAAGGTTCTCTGGTTCCTGAGTTTGTCGTGTCCTTTCCCCCTGGCTGGAGAATGGAAAGGGAAAAAGGTCTCTTGGACTCTTGGCCTCAACTCAAGAAGTAACCTCCCAAAAGTCAAGAGTTCTTCTTCTATCCTCCCAGAGCAGCGCCATGCCAGTACACCCGGGGCTGGGTCTAGAAAAAGACATGAAATAGACATCGGTTCACTTAACTGTCCATCAGGAACTTTAACACCCTTCACTGCACAGGAATGCCCGGAAGCTCTGCAAACACGGGGCCATGTCAGTTTTGGCTCACTCAGGAATTTTGCGCAATGCCTAGCTTGTAACAGATGCTCAGAATAAAATTTATTTACCAGTAAATGCCATCAATAGCTGATTAAATATGGTAGTTGTGGTCCTCACAATGAAAAGTTGGTCCTCAAACTCTTGGACAACTTCCTGATATAACTTGGATTCAATAGAAAAAAAAATAGGTTTGACTTGATCAGTTCAATTCACTGTCAAGTTTGAGAATTACCTGCTCAAAGAGGAGTTACAGTTGTCAGCTGCTAGTTGTGCACATACATAAGCAGTGTGTTTCCTCCACTTTTTTTTCCTTCTCTCACACTCCTTCATTTCTATGCTGTTTCTTCCCTGTAAGTCTTCATGAACAAAATGGTGTTAGAACAGGGAGGACAGGGAAGTCACACAGAAATATACAGATTGGGTTATGAATGACAGCTTTTTATCCCTCTCTTCGACTCCCCCCCACCCCCCAGGGTGGCTCTTTGGAAGGCTGGGATGACTTCAGTGCATTATTTTTGCAGGATCTTCCATTTAGAAAGTCCATGGACAGCTGATGTCCTTACATGGTATAATTTTCTGCTTGGCTCTTGTAAAGTTGCTACTTGGGGAATTTTCTTGCTTCGCTTTGCAAATCAAGAGGCCTAACACCACCATCAAAGCATATTAGAAACAAAATGAACCAATGGCATCATTTAACAGCGTAGAAACAAAGCAAAGCTTTATCTTCCAGATAACAGTCGATGGCCTGCTAGCTCACCGACCCGCAGTTTACCTGCGCAGTCTGCAGACAGCCTCACGGCAGTGTGCTCGGTAGATGCAGCAGGTCACCTCAAATACATAGTTCTCCCCCAACGCCCCCTGAGAACTTAACATTCTTCCTCGGGGTCCTTCATCCCCAAAAGAAATGGGTAGAGATTAGTGTAACTCGAGAACAGGCAGAAAACATGGAAGAAAGTGAAAGACAAGACAGATGAGTAGCAGCGTCTGAACCGTTGAGCAGCAAGGGCGAGACTCGGAAATGCCTTTAACGCAGAGGGAAAGTTGAGAGGACAGCGGAGCAGAGCTGTGAGATCACCTTTCAGAAGTGAGTGCAGCACGGAACAGAGTTGACGCCGGGCCGCAGACGATGCCGGGAAGTGGCGGGGCCGGGGCTGTGCCCACGCGTGCACTCGGAACGGTGCACGGATGCGCAAGTGCCGGGCGAAGCCGGGGACCAGGGTTCATTTCCCCTCGACTCTCCCGAGTCCACGGAGGCTGAGGGGGACCGGCCGCGCCTTGCCCGAGGCGGGAATCGAGTCGAGCCCCCACTGCGACCCCCCGGACTGATAAAGATGCCCCCCATTCACCGGGGGCGGCACCGGGCACGACGTGAGGACCGCCGGCCTCGCCGACTGCGGCCGCTCCCGAGGGGCGGGGGGCGCGCCTGTCGGAAGGGGGGAGGCGGAGTCGCTCGGCTGCTGGGAAGAGACCAAAGGAATGAGCAGTTGGAAATTCTGTGGCGCGGACCCTCATCCCAACCCCTTCTGCTCCTTCGCCCCAGACCCCCTGCCGAGAGGCTAGGGGGCTGGAGACAGGGAGACGTGGTGGCGGGAGAGTCACGTTTCGGAGAGGGAAGTGAAATAAAGAGGGCGGCACCCGGGGGGACCTGTGCGTCATTGAGGGACCGAGAAGTGCAGGGCGCACGGGGCTGCAAAAGGAGAACTTGGAGCGACGAGCGGAGGGGGCGGCCGCGAAACGCGCGAGCCTCCTGCCTCCCCGGGCGGCGCCCCGGCCGCCTGCAGCCTCGTGGCCCTCGCCCGGATCCGCCGCGCTCCGGACCCCGGCGGGCGGGACGCGACCGCCGCGCGCAGAATGTGGCCGCCGACGCGGCCCCGGCCCCGCACGCCCTGGCGCTGGGCGCTGGCGCTGCTGGCCCTGGGCGGAGCGGGGCTGTGCCACGCCGGTCCGCAGCCCGGGTACCCCGCGCGGCCCAGCGCCAGGAACAAGTAAGTGCGCGCCCCTTTGGTCGCCCCAAACCCCGGCGCCCTGGGCCCCCGCCTGCCCCTCCCCGACCCGCCTCTGGGCCCCGGGGCTGCTCTGCCAACGGCGACGAGCGGCAGCTGGGGTCCGCTTTGCACTCCCCCTGGCGACTCCTCCTCCGGGTGGCCGTGCGCCCCACGGCCGGCGCCTGGGGCAGGGTTGACTCGGGGGCGTGGGGCGCAGGGAGTGTCCCGCAGAGCAGGGCGAAAGTCCTCCCAGGAATGCCGGAGTCCCCGGCACCGTGGGGGCTTTTCTTTCTTCCTGTCTTTTGTCGAGTAAAGGTGCACGCTCTCCACAGGCGCGCCGCGCACCCTCCGGGTCTGCTTTGTCAGGCTCCTGCTCTGCAGGGGGCGACGGCGCCCTGACCCTCGCTCGGTCCGGCGCTGCTGTATCAGATTGTCCCCCGTCCCGGCCTCACTGTTCGCGTTTACACTGTGTCCTTCTCCCTCTCTCCCCTTCACCCCAGGAACTGGTGCGCCTACATCGTGAGCAAGAACGTGAGCTGCTCTGTGCTGGAGGGAAGTGAGAGTTTTATTCAGGCTCAGTACAGCTGTGCCTGGAACCAGATGCCCTGTCCGTCCGCGCTGGTGTAAGTCGCGGGGCCGGGAGCGGGCGGGGCGCGGCCGGGCCTGGGCCGTGGGGGTGGGGAGAGGTTGCAGCGCTGGGCTCCAGCCCTCCTGTAAATCTCTCCCAGATCTGGTGAAAACCCAGCAGCTGAAGAGTTTGAGCGCTGAGCGGGCTTCCAGCCACGCTGGGGCATTTAAGGAGCGAGTGCTGCCCGAGTGAGCGTGGAGGATGCGCACTGGGGAGTGTGGGGATCGCCAGGGCACGGGGGAGGATGAACAAAGCTCCCACCCCCACTTCTCTCTCTTTTTTCCTTTCAATTTTGTTACTAACATAAGGCAGCTGAACCTAATTAGATCCATATTGTGTGTTCTGGGGCACACAGAAGGTTCCAAAATGTATACTGCTGAAAACTTGAAAATGTAGGAGTAGCTGAGAGGTTTGGCTAGCTAGTGTTGTGGAACAAGCGAGTTTTGTCCGTATGTCCCCATAAAACTGACCTCTTCCAGGGTTGTAGATCTCTAAACTAAAAGTCTCCGGAACAGTGTGTTTAAAAGTGCGTGTGTTTTCCAAGTTAGATTTGGGGATTCGCTGAGGGGTTGTCAGAAGATAATGTTCCTTAAAGACATTTAGGAAGGGGAAGAATTAATCATCTTTTGACTTATAAAGATTTCGCCATCTTAAAAAAAAAAGCGGAAGCGGTGCAATGGAGTACAATTGCCGTTAAATACATCACACTCATTCAATTGTCATCAGGCAAGTCTTTGAGTTTTTGTGTAAGTCAGAGACCAGAAGATGGGCAGATGTGAATAAATGGCTGTTGGGGACACATGTGATGGTTGAAATGAATTGTTTTCCACTAAGAATAAGTTGTTTGTCTTAGAGCACAGTTGTCATTACAGCAAAGAATAGTCAGCAGCGGATCTGTCTTTGGCAAAACCAAGGGACAGACTGAAATTCATTCTCCAGGAAGCCCTATTCCAGAGGGCAGTAGGTGAAACTTCAGCCCCCCGGAGGAAGAAGTGGTCCTGGGATCCATCCCACATGGGCTGATGGGGCAGCTGTAAACCGGGATGGGTCATTCCTGCCAGGCAAAACCAAAGCAAAACAAACAAAAACTTAGAGAGATCCCCACTCTCTAATACACAGAAGCGAAGACTGAAACTGAATGCATGGCTGTCACTTTGAGTTGGATAAATTGTCAGAGAGACACAGTACCATCATCCTACCTTAATCTCTGGTGGGTGAGCTCTCACGGTCTACAGCCAGCAGTCAGTGACAACAGAACCAGATGAAAATTTTACATGGCGGTAGAGACATGAGCTCTAAGTATTCAGCACAGTTTGAATAGATTTGTGAAAAATTGGAATTGAATTATTAGTCAGGAATATTTCATTCGTTTTATACAAGAACTACATTTTGTGGTTTGCTAGAACCTTCATACTTACTGTGACAACTCAGAGATCATTTAATTTTTCATTTTGGGAGGTAATGCTTTTCATTTAAAAGACGGTTTGTTTTTATCCTCTCAAATTATTTTAGCTGCTTGGAAAACAAAATGATGATTCAGTTGTTGTATTTGACCAAAATTCAGTGAAACTTGGTTGTCAGTTGGGAGCGAATCACTTCCAGATCAGCAGCTTCCTGAAAGGCAGTTGCGTATTTTTGCCACCCAGTGGGGGGGACAACAGAATGGCTATAAAAAAATGACAGATATTTCTGTTGTTTTATTAAAACCAAAATAAATGACCTGGGTATTTTGCTTCAATAATAACCATGTAAACAATTCAAGTGTATTTTTTACTTTTTTTTTATTTTATTTTCTGGGACAGGGTCTTACTCTGTTGCCAGAGCTGAAGTGCGGTGGTGGCATCACAGCTCACAGCAACCTCAAACCCCTGGGCTAGAGTGATCCTCCTGCCTCAGCCTCCTGAATAGCTGGACTACAGGGAGGTACCACCATACCTGGCTAAAGTTTTCTATTTTTTGTAAGATGGGGTCTCACTGTTGCTCAGACTGGTCTCCAACCCCTGAGCTCAAACGATCTTGCACCTCGGCATCCCAGAGCTCTAGGATTACAGGCGTGAGCCACCGCGCCCCCAGCCACATTTTTTATTTTTATTATTTATTTATTTATTTG